TGTGTGTGTGTGTATGCTCGTGTGTGTGCACGTGCATGTGTGTGCGTACGGTTTTTATTTGTGCTGTTGTAGTGTGAGTCGTTGACAATGAATAGTATAAGAAAGCCCTCACCCTGTCCATGTTTGAAGAAAGGTACTGCCGCGAAGAATGGTTACTGATCTATACAGATGGATCTGCTACTGACGTTGTAAAAAGAGAAGGGGAGGGACGTACAGAAGTTCTCAAATGGACGACGCCAAGATTATTTTCCATGAAGTTGATATTCAACAGCTTCAAAGTTATGACGACTTAGCAAATACCCCATGCACATTGCCAATCGGATTAATCGGATTGAAATGGGGCCAGACAGAATTTCCTTCTTGGATGGGGCAAAAGTTTCCAATTCTGCACAATCCGACCGATTTGATTCGCAGACTTGATAAACAAATTAATGCTCGCCAGGAATACGAGCCCTGTCCCATAAGTAAGTTTCCCTGCTCTGTAAAATCATCAATTTTTAGGCTTACAGAAAAGAACTTTTGTACATGCCCACAGAAACAGTTTTCTCTCTTTTCAACATAACATAACAACCGTTGATCTCAGTGCACTTTCCCATCTGATACTGCCAGCGGCCAAACACAGTGACAGCGTCCGGCTTCGGCCAGAGTCCTTAAAGTCGTTCTTTGATTTTGGTGAAGAAATAAAAGTCGCCACGGACAGATTTTATGCGACAAATCAAAACAGATGATGAAACATGGGTGTATTCGTGGGATCCAGAACTGAAAACACAATCAGGAGAATGGAGAAACCCTGGATGACCATGAGCCCTGAAAACTTGACGCCAGAAAGGTGCTTTGAAAGTAGTTTTCGATTAAAAAAAAAAATAGAGTGGTTTTTAAATTGACCGGTTCCTGTTGGTACCACTGTCAAAGCTAACTGTTATACGGTGGTTCTTTATACCAAGCTGAGACCAGCAATCAGGAGTAAGCGGCCGTGTCTGCTCGAGCAAGGTGTTGTCTTCCATCACGACAACACGCCTGTGCACACTGCTCAAAAGGTCACCGATCTCCTGGACTATTAACAGTGGGAAATCCTTGAACACCTCAGCTCTTCTCCAGACTTGCAAAGTTCCTAAACTCAAAGACAGACGACGGGGCAGCAATTTGAGACACAGTGGAAATTATGCTTGAAACTCGAAACAAATTAATGAATGCTGCACAAAGGGCTCTGGCTGAAGCGAACATTGTCATTGCGTATGATCTCTGGCTACATCGGATGAAAACGTGCATTGAGATCGAGATCAGCAGATGTTATGTTGAACCGAAAACATGTTTCTGTATGTATGTACACAATTACATATATGTAAAAATAAAATCTGTTGATTTTACAGCACAGGGAATCTTACTTCTGTGACAGACCTATTCAGATGCGTGTCTCTAGGGTTTGTGAATTGAGCAAGGTGTGTGTGTTTGTGTGTGTGTGTGTGTGTGTGTGTGTGTGTGTGTGTGTGTGTGTGTGTGT